AGGAATGCTTCTGACAGTGTTCAGACAAAGACGCTCTGTAAACTACAAAGACCTTAACTTGCTATCTGTACTCCTGCCAGAAACCCTTAAGATGTACCTTTAATCAATATTTACAATACGGGCAAGGATGTGTTTATTCTGTTATGTACCTGAACAGATATAAAGGAGAGACTAGCTTTGGAAACATCTCACAAGCATATTTATTAATCAGGAGCAATCTGTCCCAAAAGCATGACCCGTTCCGTGCTTTAAATGGCATTTCATTACAGTGCAGCTGCACAAGCCTCCATTCTCCCTGAACAGATGCTTGATATGCAGAAGGCAGACTTTAGCACACTACTTATTTACATACGTAAGTTCCTGGATTTGTTTAGGTTTGAGGACAGTAGTTCAGGAACAGTCTGTTTTGTCTTAATCATTTGAAAAGCTTCTTTCTTTTCTTTCTCCACTGTTTATTGTCCACATCTTCAGTATCATCAGGAGGATCTGGTATTACAAAGCCATCAGTCACTTTATAGTAGACTACTGTGGAATCTGACTCAACTATGGCCAAGGTAACTGACAGCGGGATGTCAGGATCGTCTTGTGGAAGAGAGGCTTTCTTCATGATTTCTCTTATCCTAGAAGGGAAAACAATCGGTTAGAAAGGAACCCACAACCACCTACCAATGGCACAAAGGTAGAAGTGCACCATTGCTATTTTTATTCAGCCTAGTTTTATTCCGCAAATTTGTCTTCACTAAAAAGCATATAAAATCTGTTCTAATAAAAATTCAAAGTGCATAATCAAGGGACAAAATCAAATAACAAAGAATCTTATAAAAATATACTCAGTTACATACATCTCTGCTGGAAATGGCTCAACATATGCTTCTAAGCTTTGCTTAGGTACACTACTGTGCACATGCCTCAACCATCCTTCCACTGCCACAATCACAGCATGGCAATCTCTAAAGGCCTTATTTTCATTAGATTTAAAAAAATAAAAATCTATCTAATTGAATAACACGTGGTGTTCAATTAGAGAATAAAATAATTAAGACTAGTTCCATTCGTAGAGTTAAGTCTTGAAGCCTCTTTGCTACAGTTCTCTGCCAGCCTGTGGAAGACCCAGGAACCGAAGCCAGGTTTCTCTACCTCCCCGTCTAGACTAGAAGCCACAAGACTAATGTTCTTCTTCAAGACAGTCAGCATAAATAATGTCTCCCTTAAAAACTCGAGACAAAGTTATGCAATTTTTCCTGTTCAGTTTACTTTAAGAATAACATGCCAGTTACTTTTCAGTTCAGAGCTGAGGACAACACTGATTCCTGGAGTCCTTGTATTACTGTTCCGACTGAGGAGCACGTACGGAAGGCGTGCAGCGCCCAGGGGCAGAACAGTAACAATCCCCATAGCAAGCATTTCCACAGGGAGCTTTCTCCTTCACTTTTCCTTAAAGGTGGGGTGCAAGAGGGCTCATCTGGGATTGCCAGGACAGGTTACGCTCTGGGGAGAGGTCAGCTATGCAGTGGGAAAAATCTCCCCTCGCTTCATGCGTCCCGACATCTCATTCACCAGAAAACATGCATTTCTGAAGCTGGGCACTGTAGTTGAAAATAAGGCTCTTTCTAAATGCATCAGCTTTCAAACTTTAATCATCATCTTCCTTCCAAACCTCTTTGATCCCTTAATAAAAGCCAAATGGGAAGTGGCAGAGAATAAGCAGCAGCCTGGAAAGCCTGTGCTATTAAGCCCGTGACCCTCATAAGTATCCATCTGTGTTCTGAACTGTTCATAATTCAACTTGGCTAAATGCAGTAGTGCCTTTTCTTTTGCTTCCACTGCTGGCCCATGTATAATGCAAGGCAAGGCAATACAATGTAATCAGTCATTTCATGCAACAGAGATACTGTGGCTGTGAAAAGCCATATTCGGGTTCTCCTACCATCAGCACATTTCCTAACAAGAGAACAAAACAAGAAAAGAGATACCGTATTCGCCACCGGCGGAAGAGGGACACCTATAAAAAGAATCATATTTCAAGCAATGTGACTTTAACTTCTCTGCTCCCTGCCACCTTGGCACTGGTTCTGTCTGCATATTTTCTTGGCAGGTGCCTCAGCTTCCGGGCGTTGCTGTGGGAATACTAAATGCACCACGGGTGTCAAGGAGAGCATGAACACAAGCCTGCCTTCCAAAGCTGTAGCCATTTCATAGCTGGAGGTGCTCTGCAGCAAGAAAGAAATGCATTCCCATGTTTGAGCAACGCCTCAAATATGGCAAGGCCTTCCAGCGAAAGCACTTGCGAGCACAAGGGGCCACGTGCCTGCTGGAGTTGCACCAGTAAGTACCAAGTGAATCACAGGTGTACAAGCAGGCACCAGGACTGCAGTAAGCAAGGACAAACGAACTGAATGGCTAAGGCACAGCAGCGAAGCGCTGCACCTCTCTGCTGATGCTGGGCACCTTCTGCTCTTGTCACTTCCAGCCCCTCTTTAGGGGTACCTCCAGCACCACCATGTCTTGCCATAGCTCTGGCGGGTGATGAGGGCCTGGGAAAGTATTCCAGATGTCCTTCCAGACATGCTACACACGCACAGAGCAAGAGTCTGCTTGTCGCATCTCAGTAGCTCGTGTCTGGAGGAAGCTCTGAATAAGTCGTCAATGGGGAGGCCAGGCTACTGGCAGAGACCCAGTGAGGAAAGAACTACCCATGGCTTTTATGAAGGTGTGGAGGTTAATCTCTCTCTCTCCTAGGAATGTGAAATAGACAGAATAAAAAGCCAAATAAAAGGGCACAACTACCTTGGAGAGATATTTTGGGACCCAAAGAAACCAAACTTGTGTTGAGCGTGGACAGTCCCATACCTGGAAGCAGACTCAGGCAGTGGCCTGTATCCACCTGTCAGCCAGAGCAGAAGCTGCTTCGTATTTTCTTTAGTAAGTGTCACCATTTCTCTCCCTAGTCTGTTAGGGGGATGGATCTAACAGTGAGGCCTTATGTCTAGATTTCCCATCACTCATGATTTCTTCTTAGACTGTCAAGCACAGACATCTGAACCTTTATTTCCCCCCCACTTAGCACTTAGAAGATGCACCACAATCCCAGAAGTGGCCAGGTCCTGACAGCAGATTAATGACATTTCTTCGCATCCCTGACTTACTTTCCAGGAGACCGAGTTTCAGGCTTTATGTAAAGAGCACAAAGACATGCCATTGCCTCAGGATGATCTGCTAACACCTCTGTCCACAGAGCTTTCTACTGCACATGGGGAACCGGCTTCTATCACCATAAAGAATTACAACTGCAAAGGCGAGAGTCTCCTCTTCCCCTTTTTCTCAACCCAGGCAGCCCCAAAACAAGAGCTCTCATTCATGCATACCACAACTAGTCATAATGCAATGCAGCACATCTGCAGATGAGTGAGAGGGTATCTTTTAAAAGAATAAGCTTCGGAATTCAGGAAGTCTGTATCAGACGCCTGTGTCTCCTCTCCTCCCCTGAAGGCATCACTGTTAGCCTCTGCATCCAGCATGTTCACAAAGTTTCTCTGCAGCAGCAGACATTTCAAAGGAGGAGTCAGAGAACATCTGGGTTTGTGCAGATTTCACTGCACTTGCTACCTGCCACAAACAGAAAGATGAAATATTGCAGGGAAGTTATAGTTTTTTTAAATCCTTTTGATGAATCTAAGACTGTCTATTGGCAGGGGGAAGCAAGAATTGTTCCTGGCCTTCTGAAATTCAAAGCAACGTGTGTTTGACCTGCTAAACAAGGCAAGAAACCTTTATTTCAAGAAATACAGCCCTGTAGGCTGCCCATCTCACACGACAGCTACATTCTATGACAAAAATTAAGTCCTAAACAAGAAGCCCGTATGTAACACCACCCCCCAACAGAGCTAGCTGACTTCATTTACTCAGTTAATGGCTACAGAGAAGCTCCATAATGACCAGTACATCTGCTACACCATACAAGTGATGCCAGTTAAAAAAGATGGCTTTTCATCCAAGTAAAAATCGATTAATGTTTCTGCAAGTGTCAAATATTAGAAGCCTCTGGAACAGAGGAATTCAATACATCCAGTACTCTGGCATACTCTGCCAACAGTCTTGATAACCTCCATTCACCAGCATCTGACCAGCCTTTTCCTCGTGAGTCACAAGTGTGTTAGAACACACTCTGCAAAACGTTGTTCCCATTGATACCAAGGGGTCCACAATGACTCCAGTTTTGGTGCCCCAGCCTTTACAGGCCGTGCTCCAACAGCGTGAACCCCACAAAAGCTGTGGTGTCAAGCATTTGGCATGGACTGGCTCTACCTGGTTCCTCCTTTTCAACAGGCATTCAGGTATGTCCACGCCACTGGCTAGACATCAAGTTTTAAGCAGAATGCAGAGACTTAACATGAGAAAAGATGCAGCTGAGAAACAGTTAATATTGTTCTGCAGCATCTGAATAAAAGCTTAGCATGTTTTCACGTCTCAAGTAAAGCCTGTGTTGGAAGAATGCACCATTTCACTTTGTCGTCTCCTGAAGGACACTGTACAGCACAGCACTCAATCAACTCAGTACACGTTCATCCACAGGCCCAGCCTTGTTCATCGCCTCAGACATGCTCATCCACAGGCTCAGCCTGGCTAGGAATATCGGGGACAGTTAACCTTATACATGCTGCTGCTTGGGATTTATCCCAAATGACTACCTGGTAAAAAAAAAAAAAAAAAAAGAGGCATCTAGAGCCCCAAGGGAGCTCACAGAACTATCAAGCATGCATGCTGCTGCACACAGAGTGGGAAGTCTATGAGTTAAAATATCCTGCAACCACTTCTCTCCTTTCTCTCCCTCTCCCCATGAAAAGCCACTGAATGTTAAAAGAGGCAGCACTGAAGCTTTATGTTTCCCACACAAAAAAGTATGTCTCGAACAAAGGCATTGTGAAAGGAAAACAATATACGTAAGCTAGGGGAATACAGACACCACAAGAAACACTGGAAAGTTTTATTTAAGTCCCATCAATAGAATAAGACTAAATATATTTTTTAATAAGAATTCTCCTCTGTTGCAGATCATACAGTACAAAGTTTTCAGAATAGCTTGGAAACCATCTTTAAAAACTGATGGTGTCTGCATGTTCACTGCCAGCTAGGATCTGCTCCCATGAAGCTAAATGCAAGTAGGATGAAGCCCACAGTTTCCACCTAGGAAGGAACCTCATGTTCACGTCACATTGCTGGAGATGAAAAGGATTTAATCTCAAACATCTGAAGGAGACACTACTATACAAAAATAAGAGCTGGAATTTCTGAAGGCCTTTGCATCAGAAAACGGGCTTTAGAAAAGGCTTTCTAGATACCTACAAATGACAGGCAGCAGGGATTTCTTTTTTTCTACCAGAGAATTAGACATAAGAGCTGGTTTAACCAACGTAACATCATGCAAGGACCACTGCATCTAAGGTAACAGCACTATAAATGTCATCCTGCATCTGCCTTTACTGCTGCACTCAAACTAAACGGAGACGGTGAACTTACCTGGTTTTCTATTACTGTTGCAATTAACAGTTTAAAAGCAAAACCCAACAACAAAACAAAGAGATCCATATAAATCCACCCAAAGAAAAGAGGGGAATTTTCCATCTTTCCCCCATCTGAATTTTTTAGTAACAAAAGACTTCCGTACTAGGTAGGCCTTCAACACACATTAGAAATCTGTACCATATTTCCTAATGAACTGCTCCTAACAAAATAAGATTGCCCTTTTCGCTCCAGAGAAACAAACAGGTATATGGATAGTGAACGTCAGACAACTGTAGCTTGAGGTTTTAATTGACTGTCCAAAACCTAAAAAAGAACAGAACCATAAAGGAAAGATAACATGGGCAGACAGTTTTGTGATGAACAAAAGAGTATTTCAGTGATATGTCCCAGGCAATTACCTCTGAGAAGCAGCGGAAACACTGAAAGCTCAGAGTAGTTTTCTGGAGATTGCATAGTGCTCCATTGAGCTGAAATGGAACTACTGCCTTCCCTACCATAAAAGCCAAAGGCTTTCAATCTGCCCTTTATACTTGGATGAATAATTCATTGCAGGCTTGGCCAGCCCGAACAGCTCCCTCCCCTCCATGCAAGGCAGGGCTGGAAAGTCAACACAAGTTGGTCTCTGTAGCGATACAGAGATACCACTCTGTGCAGCGGAGTGCGCCATTGTACCAGACTTGTTCAGATAAGCCCTGTGACAAGAGAATCAAGCCAGAGGAAACCTCCCATAAAGGACAACACCTTGAATTTAGCCAGCACTACAAAAACAGGGCAGCATGGCTCCCCATCAGGAGCGCTGCTCCAGACCTAGCTGCAGGGCAGGCAGCACTATTAACTTAGTGCCTTGAAATATATGGGAAGAAGCACATGATGGTGGTGGGAGGTGTAAACAGACACCACTGTATCTTGGGATTTGCTTCCAAACTACAGGAACATGGGATGCTAGAAGAAACTCATGTTTTTGTAATGGGAAAAAGAAAAATAAAACCAAAGAAAACACCACCTGCCTCACTGGTCAGGACAAGGAACTGAAAACCCAAGGAATATAAAGTCCTTTTTTCCATGGAAGTTGAAAAAAGAAAACGACAAATTATGCAAAAGGGAAGAATCAGAATTCAGCAAAGTTCTACAAGATATACCAACTACAGGACATTCAATCACAGTACTGCACAACTAACTCAGTTGTATGAGCCACATCAATCACTTTTAAACCAGTAATAAAGAGTTTGTATTTAGAAGCCATTAATTGCATTTTCAACGTGTGATTTACTGTATGAGTAAACTCAAATAATGCTAATAGCAAAAGAACTACTGACAAAACTGTGAAGAGGATGCAAGATAAAAAGCATGTCACACTTCCAGTGCATTTAAAATAACAGTGCTTCTTACAAGCAAAAACACTTCCGATTAGAAGACCTATTTCACAGACTATATACATTTAGAAAAGGATACATTGCCTCCAGTCCTCAGATTTCCTTCTAAGGATGCCTATCAGCTTTAAAATGAAACATTTATGTATTTTTTTTTCAAAATTAAGTTACCACTTTAACAAAATAACCCTTTCCCTCAGCCTAAATCAAACTCTGCAGTCTCCATAACCTCAGGCAACTGACTTCATCCTTCATTTCCAACACTTGCATACAAAAACCAAAGAGGACAATGACATATCATTTAACCTGACAGTTTATTAGTAACATTTTGCTTAGACCATGTTATTTGTCTAGGACTGACAGTGCATAATTCCATTATTTCCAGCACCTAACTCCCTGGTCCTTGGAAGGATCAAGGCTTTCAACGCTATCTAGAAAATCCATCTGTCAACACTGTGAGCTCTCCTAGGCTTGCTGAGCATAGTTTATGTAAGTCATTTCTGCCAGCTTTGAAGCAGGACTACCTGTATTTAACTGCTTCATCCCCTTTGGGGAGCCACAATTCTGGAATGCACTGACAATTATGTACTTGGTGTGCACCAAGACGTCTGCAGTAGTGAACAGCAAACGTACCCCAGCCAATGGACCGACAAATTCCTCCTGCAAGTATGAATCACTGCTAAATTCAAAGGAGTACAAACACAAGGTTCTCCAAACCTCAGACAGCTCTGTGTGGTTGAGAGAGCAGTCTAAGACAAAAGTTGCATCTCATTCTCCAGGTCTTTACTCACAGAAGATTCAGCAATCTTCATTTTAAGAGCACGCACGCACAGCATGAGGCCATTTCTTAGGCTGCATGGAACTACCATTTACAGTGGTGGTCACTGTGCTCCAGACCCCATAACTTTGCGATTCAGTGAGTTACCGTGCAGCCTTACGCTGGCAGGGCGGGACAATCAGCTTCCATCAAGTTGCTTGTTGAAGTGGACAGTGAGCTTAGTAAGCAGAACAGCTTTTGCCTTAAGCAGTTAACTGTCATCCATAAACTGAACATGATGAAATCTTGTAATAGGCTAAAAATCACCGAGCGGATTATTTTTTTGTAGGGTGTTCACGTTTATCGTTTGCTTAGGTGTCTTGCTGGTAATTTCCACAGTAACTTTACTACAGCCTTATAAGGACACACTCCTCTGAGTGTTGGCTAAGCAGGAATCTTCATGAGACACCCGGGAAGGCAGAACTTGGCTGAAGCGGCTTTTGAGAGGAAAACCACCCCTGCAGCCCCTATGCAGGCCTTACTTGGTTAAGCAAGGACATGCTGCCCATAAATGCTGCCATTTGCTAGCTGCTTTTGCAGTTAGCACACTTCCAGCCCCAGCAACGAGGACAGAACATTTTCACCTTCCCAAACCCCTCCAATGGCTTATTTTCAACATTAAATGAGCTGCATTCACTTGTACTCATACCTCTTCCTTTACCTTTAGCAGGCAACCCAAAAACCCACAGCACCGCTTTGAATAAAATGTCAAAGTAGCTAAGTTCAAAAGCTTCCCTGTCTGCCTATAGCTTGCTAAGCCAAGTGAGAAAATACCACTTAAGACATCAGATACCTGACAAGCCTCCCGCTATCAACAATCACAATAATAAAATATTCATCACTGACAGAACGAAGAGGCAATAGTACTGTAATTCTGCTTCAAACTCCTTCTGTAGGATGTCTTTTTAATGGCCTCCATCTACACTACACAACTTTGAGCTACAGTTACTGTCTATACCCCCTGTTTTTCCCTCCAGCAAAGGAGCTGAGGAGTTGATGCTGTCCTTTCTCTACGAAGACAGACCAGGCCTATCTGATCAGTGGTGACCTGCTAATGAAATTCCAAGCACGCATGTGCACGTGCACATTCAATAACGCAAATACAAGCGTATATGATCTTCCTGCCTAACAGCATCTATGGGTATCGAGCACATACAGGCTTTCATGGGCTCACCCAGCATTACAGCTCGCTATTCAGTTCATTTTAGTGACAATACGCTCTATGTAGTTGCTCTGTAGCAAATCCTAGTCACAAACCGTACTTTTAATCAATGTGACACATTCACTCTTTGCTTCTCTAACACACATCCTTCCAGAAATGGATTCCATCCGCACTGGTGCCAGAAGCAGAGCAAACAGTATCACCACAGTACAAACAAGTTCAGAGGCTCCAAATGAAAAGCCCCAATGAAATAGTAAAAGATAGGACATACATGCAGCGCAGCATCTCACCGTCATTAAAAGCCCATTAGAACATAGCTGCTGGCAGTGATCCAACACCAGGAATCAAAGTTTCCAACCTAGGTGGAAACCTACTACATTAAACAAGCATAACAACTCAGCACATAGGCATAATTTCTCAAAGATCCTATATCCTAATTTGCTGCCTTCTTTTCCCACCTAAAAGCTAGTTTGAACTGTGAATAGCAGTGCGTCCCTTTCACACACACACACAGCGACCTGCTTCCTGCAGAGAGGCCAAATGACACTCAGCATTTCATCCTGCCAGACCTCTCAGCAGCTTTCCTCTGTTCTGGAGATCACACTGTATTTCCCTGTAAGACCAAGCCCACAAGAGTGACTGACCAATATTTGCAAATGGAAAGTTTTTCAGCAAGTAGATAGTACTCAAATCCACCGATATCTAGTAAGTGATTTTCTTCCCCCTCACGAATTAATTCCTTCTGAAGACATTCTCTTAGGAAAACACAAAGCAGAATTAAGATGGAAGTCTGTTTGCAAGAGACCTATCTGTCACTTGTAAAATCTAAAAAAAAGCAAAAACCATAGCATGTCTGAAATGTCATTCCTCGAGTGCAGGCACACACACATCTGCTAAGTGCAATTCATTAGCTAGCTACTACTGTGTCAGGCTGCTGCCAACAGAGCCAGAGGAAATGGCAAACACCAGCAAGATCTGCAAAGCCAGCCCTGAGCACACACTTCTAGCCAGAGTAAGAACAGAAGAAATTGGAAAATGTACTGCTATATGATGCAGCTGAAATAGCTCAGGCATTCAGAGACATCATAGGAAAGAATGGCAAATATTCGTAAGAGAACGTGGCTGTTATCAGAGAGTAAATCACACTGTGCAGCTCAGGCTGCTCTAAGGGCCAGTTAAAATACACTGTCAAATTAGTTACACGGAATTTCTCTAGGCTGCAAATATCTGTAATATCACAAAGTCATAGCCGTGTTGTCCTCTGCTTGAGAATTACTTAGTCTTGCATGTGTAAGGAAAGTAAGTAAAAAAAATCACAGCTCAAGGGATAGTCACACATTAGATTCTGGGTAAGAAAGAGGAATTTCTGGTTGAAAGTAGCCATATTATAATTTCAAAACAAAAAGTAAACACACCAGGCTTATCCATAAGATTCAACAATTAAAAAAAAGTTTCTTCTTAAGACAGGTCCAAGAGTATTTCTTTCCAGTTAGGTACTTTAAAACCCAGTGATGCAAAAAGCATTGCTAGATTTCCCAGACTACAAAAAAGCAGCACAAACAGCTGGCAAGCCAAACACTGACCACATCCTCACCTCTCATGGCTTAACGATATGTGCACAGGTACCGGCACCATCACTTGCAGACTGTCCTGTTCTCTTTCACGTGCGTGTAAACATACGAGCTGCAGTTCTGCTACTCCGACATGCTTCACTTCATGCCAGTTTCTCCCTAGAAAGGATCATCATCGATGAGAAGGAACAGAACACAAAACACAAGTTTTAGTCACTGAATCAAATTTGGTATTTAAGTTAATGTCTTACGTTCTGTTTTCCCTCCCTCTCCTCACAAAAGTTTTCCCATGAGAGACAACTACCCCATTCAACTGTCAAGATCCCCTTCCTGAGAAACAATCCTGTTAAAAAAACCCCGCCGGGCACAGTACCAGTCTGCTGACTCCAGAGCTACAGTGACTGATGGTGAACAGGGATCTGTCTGACAAAGCTTTGTTTCAAAAAGGCAAAAAGACGACAAAAAATATCTTTGTCATCTGCAGCATAGCAATCCAAATTTGAACTTCATCAGTACCCCAAACTGTGCAGGAGCAGGTGCTAAAAGCATGATTATTAATGATACACAGTTCTTCCCTTCTGCTTGAGAGGATAAGGCTAAAAATTTTCATTGCAGAACTACAAGAGCCTTCTCTTAAAACCTATTAAGGTATTTTCTTCAGAGGTATAATAACAACAGACACAGTGCTTTCTGGCCTGTAAATTCCCTCCCTTCCTTGACCTTGAGAACCACCAGCCTCCAAGGGAAAGTGAAGTCTTTTTATTAGGCTGTCTGCCTACCTACGCACAGTCCCTTTCCAATAAAGCCAGCTTGGGAGAATCGCAGGCAGAAGTTTATATATCACATAACTCTGCTCCACTCAGAAGACAGCAGAAGACTACACTGCATTTGTCGTAATTATTGCCACCAAACCTCCAAATTATCTTCTTTCCTTCAGCAATCCTGCCCTTTCCAGAAAACAGCATCCTAATCAGACTGGCACACATCAGCCATTTGCTAAATGGTAATCAGTAACTTTGACATAAATTTACAAACAAGGACTCTATTACCACCACAACCACTGAACTTGTAACTTCACCTGTCTATGTTCCTTTTCCTTCCCCTACTCCTCTCTTGCTTTTTTTTCCATGCCAAGTGTCTTTGCCCTGGAACACCTGCACCTGTAACTGCAGGACAAAATGGGCCCTCATCTTTGTAAAGGCTCCAGGTAGGCACAGGATAGAAACCTCCAGTGCCAAAATACCATCTGTTTCTTAGGTAGCCATCACGGCATTAACTTTCAAAAAGAACACCAAGGACTTTGTAGGAAGGCACCTGCTAGTGCACAAACTTTAATAGCACCTAAGGGCAAATACATTTGTTGAGATATTTATCCAGTCCCTTCACTGAATTACCTTCTAAGAGATCCAGGTAGACCACAAACGCAGCATAGATTTGAGCGCTGTCAGATATATCAAGAGACATCATTTCTGTGAACTGAAACCCAAAAAGTAACGTTGGTGAAGGAAAGCAGATGTTATATTAAGAACGCACAGGTTCTTAATATAACCCAGAATCTGTACAGAATCTGTACAGCTATCTAAGCCACTGAAGTCTGAAACCAGTTTTAAGGACCAAGAGGCAATTAAAAAGCAGGATTTGTTTTCTGACGGTGTCTTAAGAGCTCTTTTTTCCACATTCCCCCTATTCTGGAGCTTAAGAAAGCACGCCAAATAAACAAATAAATGAGGAATCACAACTATTTCTGGAACAAATCTAGCTTTGTGAAGAAGGGCTATGAATTTTACCTATTTTTGCTGCAGTACATCAACATAAGATGACGGCCAAATTAAATACCTCCGTGTTTTCAGTACACCAAAAATTAAGATGGACTCAAAAGTTTGGCGATTGCAGCATTTATAACCCCCTCCCCTGCTAAAGCCGGCATTCCCCAACCACCCCACCGGCTCTCGGGCCAGGAGACGAGCCCCCTCAGCAGGTCCAAGGTCAGGAAACACGTTATATGACGGTCTCCTCCTCCAGCACCCCTTCTCGGGGGGGACACCCGCCCCTCACCGGCCCCTCGGCCTCGGGGCGCCCGTGACCGCCTGCGTGGGCCCCGGCCCCGAGGTGCTCCTCAAAGCCACGGTGGAGGGAAATCCTGTCAGGGGCCGTAGCAACGGGCACAGGCGGGAAAGCGGGACACTCCCCGAGTGACTGAGGGCCTCAGCGGGGTGAGCCCTAACGGTGGGCCCCGCCGCCCCTCAGCGCCAGGGCAATGAAGGG